GACCGTCTAAGGCGAAATAAACGCTCCCAAGTTTGCTTCCTATTTGCTAAATACGTTGAAAGAATTAGAGGGAAAAACTTATTAAAGCCAAATAACTAGTAAGACAAGTTTTCGCTCTGGAGAAGTCGACTGAGAGGAGACGCAAAACCATCAAATGGGATGAATTCAGTCAATGACCATAACACTGGAAAAAATAAAATCAAACTGAAGTTCTCAATGAATTAGAGCTCACCGATTTGAACGTAAGTGATGAACTGAATCCAAAACGCACGCAACGGAGTAAATCATAGTGAGTTCAGTTTATTCAGAACAGACACAAGCTAAAACTTGGCTTAGCTACTACTGCAATTCACAAAACAAAGCATCCATAATTGCGAAAAGTGAGATCTCAACATTAGTGGAGAACACAAGTAGGGAACAGAAAGCATAAACATCTATAGGATGGTGTTAATCGAGATGCCTCAATGGGAATGGGAGTGAGATCCTCATCGGTTACGAACACCGGGGATTTTACCAACAAGGAAATTTATTGTGCGAGGTCAAAGTGATAAAAAAAGAACCATAGAAAATCGCAGATAACAAGTCAATGAATAACTGAACTACCAGCATAAGTGAATGCAAAAGCAAGAAAAATATCGTAGACCGAACGAATGCATTTTGATTATTCCACTGGCAAAGTAATTTGTTCCTAAACTATTCGTAACTGGGTCATGAAAATAACTTTGTTAAGTGACCGTCCAATTATACAGGATAGAATGAAGATAAGGTGACCATCACCTGACACGCCAAAAACATGCTAAGCGAAGAGGGCTTAAAGGTTAATTGGCATTAGGTAATAATGGCGATGGAGCAAAACATACGTCGCCCTCACGAGCACGTCTACGAGCCGCTAGAACCCTCTGCAAATCAGACATCATATCAGCTCCCTGAGTTCGACTCAGTGTCCCAGCACTGGCCACTGCATGAATTCCAAGACTTCCCGTGGTGGAATTGACGAAACCACCACCCTCCTGCTTCTCTTGCTGCTTTCGCAAACGCATCTGCTTGGCCTGACGCAGTTGAGTGGCCAGCCAGCTCTGGTTAGCAGAATCCGGTTCATCACTGTCGTTGGCCATCGTGCCAAGGGAAGGAGTGGAGGAGGCTGGAGCTGAAAATTTCCGATCACCGAGGGCCGAAGAAGTGGAGGAAGCTGGTGGCGGTGGCGGTGGAGGTGGTGGTGGCGGTGGTGGAGGAGCGGGCGGAGCAGATGGAACGGATAA